GCAAGGCCCATAAGCAACACGCAAAATGTTGCTGGCCATTAGAAAACCATTCAAAAGATGCACCTCTCCAGCCTGATCTCACGAGGAAACTTATGTATTTTACATTTTTTCAGTTTAGTGGCTAATTCGTACGAGTTCAGTCGTATGAAAATGTATGACTTTAAAAAGGAGGTGTGGCACCCAACCCCAACTGTCATTGTGTGATGAGCAAATCGTACTAAATTATACAAATTAGATCGCACAAATTTATATGAATTAGCCACCAAATCAAAAAGTTACGAATTGCCATGAGATTGTGTCGGCCTCTAATGCAAAAAGTGCATTGGGTGTGATATAAGCCTTATAGAGTAAAGCAGGATAAAATTAAAACTACACTGTTCATCTAAAAAAAATTACATAAATTACATTAAAAAAATTACATGGACTGGCTTAAGTAACATGGTAAAAAAAATTGTGGTAATTTTCATTTATGGGTGAACTAGTCCTTCAAGGTTGCAAAACTCGGGACTTCTAGCAAAAACCAGCAAAGATCAAATTGAATGCAATTTTCCATTGTAAAAACGCGAAGTGCATCACACTGCAGTTTTTGTTGACAAGAAAAAAAGAAATTCACTGTGTTTTATGTTAATAGGCAACGACTGAATAAGCGGCATGTTGTGTGCGATCATTGCTGTTGATACGGTTACAATTGTAATACTGAATAATATAGTGATATTCAAGATATGTGAAGCTTCGGATAACTCGAAACAGCGACCACAAGTGTCTCCTCTATTTTTTAAAGTCTCTGTAGTCGTCGTGACAACACAAACTCTGCTGTCAACTCAATGGAAACCCCACCTCTGATTTCATTTGATTGGAAAATGAAAAAGACGTGACTGGCGTAATGCGTTTTTTCTGTTCAGAGTGGATTTTTTTTAACTGCGGGCGCACAGTGTGCAATGGCAAAAGCACAAGGTGCAGCAGGCGGTTAAATGCGAGGCGTGCAAGGCCCATAAGTAGTGCAAAAATGCTTGCAGCCATTAGAAAACTATTCAAAAGATGCACCTCTCAATGCAACAAGCGCATTTGGTGTGATCAGGACCTTATACAGCATGGAAGAGCAAGATAAAATTAAAAACTACTGTGTCTGTCTGAAAGAGGAAAAAAGGCCTACAAGCAGAGGACAGCTTGAAGTAAATTATGGGGTAATTTTCATTTTTGGGTGAACTAGTCCTTTAAGGTTGCAAATCTCAAGACTTCTAGCAAAAAACACAAAAGCAAGGCGAAAGTTTTAAAACTTGGCTCGGAAATCTCTGAAAAAAAGTCTACAGATATACTGAATTTAAATCGAGATTAAAGATGTATTTCATTAAGGAAGCATCCAAATAATGTACCGGATGACATATTACTAGATATTTTGCTCAAAATGTCATGAAAAGTAGCTACACTGATTTGTCTGCATTTGCATTAGGTTTCTACATCTGGATCCAGGTAGCTAGAAATTATACCAGATCGGTTTTAGATAAGAAATGATCCAACACCACAATCATGATCACAGAATGTATTCATTTAACACCTTAGTCACGTTCATTCTGCTTGAATACTGTCATTACATGCATGATTACACTTCTGCAATACGGGCATTATTTGAACAGTAAGCTATAATAACCACGTTACCCTTAATTGTTTGTAAAACTGCTTTGAAATGTTTTGCATCATAAAAAAGTGCTATACAAATAAACTTGAATTGAATGGCTTTAACCGAAACACTTCACCTGTATTGCATAACACACCCTCTACAGTTCATCTGCATGTAATAATATGCGACCCATAAAAAAAAAAAAACGCACCATAATTTAGATGGAATGTGACCTAGCCACCGTTCGCAGTTGTTTGGAAGTGAGTGTTTGTTTGAAATTCTCAATAAACATTGAGGGAGAATTTTTTTTTCATGTTAAGAGTGAAGTTATTTTTGGCATCGGTGTGCGTAGGAGGGGTTTGACACGCTGGCTTTCAATCGATTGGTGGGCTTTTGTGATTGGCTCTCTTCAGAGGCTTTCTCTCTCATCTCATCTGAACAGGGGGGCTGTGAAGGGGCTTGTTGTTGGTGCATCACCTGCTGTTCGTAATCGTCCCCCCCTCCCCTTCATAGTCCTGAGCTGAAACTCCTGGCTGTGTGCTAATGCTCAGCTGTGTGTGTGATCTAGTTGGCGTTCTGGACTCTGAGCTTTTGTGTAGCTATTGTCAAAGAATGAAGAATACAATTATTATTTTTAATACAAATAATTAAAACTGATTTTTGCTGAATTTAATTTTGTAAGGGTACCTAGGCCTGGCATTACTAGGAGTGAAAAAAAAATCAAAATCTATTTCACTTTCTGAATGGTTTAGGTATTTAAAAAAAACAAAATGGTTATAATAAATAAACATTTACTTTTTTTTATTTACTTGGACCTTGTTAAATTGAGTTGAAATGCCAAACATTGTATTTTTGCTGATATTTTCTAACTCCTTTCAGCTGGGGTGATGCGTGTATCTTTTCTTTTTTTCCAGAAGTGTTCATTTACAGTCAGGTGTGGGATTTTTCTTCTTTACAAGTGTTAGCTTCTGACTAGAAGATACAACCAGACTTGTGATTTTATGACCCAAATTCATGATTTGTCCCTAGATAGAATTATATATTTTTCCACTTTAATTTTTAATAAATGTAACACAGCAGCCCTTAAATATATTTCTCATGAAGCAGGCACTAGGTCCCAGCGGGAGGCTGCTTGGGAGCGATATTCATTCATTCATTTTTCTTCCACTTATTCCCTTATTTGTCAGAAGTCACCACAGCGGAATGAACCGGCATGTTTTCTGCAGTGCATGTTTTATGCAGCAGATGCCCTTTCAGCTGCAACTCAGTATTGGGAAACACACAACACTCTCACATTCACACATGCTCTCATACACTATAGTTTATTCAATTTCGTTTATTCAATTCACCTATATCGCATGTTTTTGGACTATGCTGGGGTGGGCAGATAGAACACAGAGGAAACCCACGTGAACAGGGAGAGAACATGAAAACTTCACAAACAAATGCCAACTGGCCCAGCCGGGACTTGAACTAGCAACTTTCCTGCAGTGAGGTGACAGTGCTAACTACTTAGCCACTGTGATATTGTAAAGAAATTAATAGTAAAAAAAGAAGGAATAATAAATTAAATACTAAATTGAAATCTTTACAATTGGTGTCACATTGGTAATTGGGGGACAGTGTCTATCTTCGGAGGTTGTAGCACTACACAACTGACTGCATAACTTACTGAGGAATATTGTACACAGAGTTATTCTGTACTCACATTCACAAGTTTCAAGTCAGTAATGCAAAAGAGTTCATCTAAATGACAGGTAAAAGTTCACCTCATATTGCTGACCTGCGAGCACTACAGTCAGCACTTCCCTCAGGTCATGTCCACACTAATAATTTTTTTGTTTAAAAATGCATTTTTCCCTCCAATTTGGCCTTCCGTCCACTCGAAGATTTTTAGGAAACAGAATCGCATCTTTTTTGAAAACTCCAAAGTATTGAAAAAACTTAGGTTTTTGAAAACGATGACGCATTTTAGTCATTTGACAAAGTTGTTACCAATTCAGCTAACATAGTGGAGGACGTCGTAAAGCAGATGTTGTGGATGCCGAACGTTTTGGAGTTTTATTAACGACTAATATCTGTTAACACATGCTTCATATTGTCTCTCTTCAAAGGACATGGAATGTTTACTGGGAGCTGTTCAGCGGCGGAAGAAGACGACAGTTGCGACATTTTGCAGCAACATTTTATAGATGGTAAGTAAATAAATGGCAAGCAAATACGGTAAAAAAAAACACAGGTAAAAGCGTCTTATGATTGTTTGCATGCATGGTACATAAACGCGTTTTTAGTCTTTTAGTGTGGATGGGAAAAAAAATTGAAAACGATAGTTCGGACATGGAGCGTTTTTAGACACGTCTTCAAATTTATCCGGATTAATGTCAAAATCAGCCCACTTATTTACATGTTATATACTTCCGTGTTCTGTCTGTCTACACTTCCAAAAATGTTAGCAGGCAGTGTGATTTCTATATTCTACTGTGTTGAGTTTCTTTCCCAGTGTTTTGAGTTTGTTGGAAATGCATGGGATGCTCATTTTCTATCTTAATCTGACCTTTTTAAGTGTCTTTTGTAAAAAAAATTCAAGCATTTTTAAAACATCTTATAATCAAAACAAAACGAGAACAAAAAACTAAAAAGTCAAGTACTTTTGAATTTCTTTGGCAAGCACCCATTTAGCTGAATGTATAATAAACCTTAATATAGCTTAAATGCAAATTAAATCACAACAAAATGTAAATGATCTCATAAAACATCCAATTCCAAACCATATAATCAAACTATACTTATTTCAGTTTGTAATTTTTTGTTTTACACGACTTAAGAAAATAAGATTGTTAAATAAGTCACACAACCTTCCATTGGCTCAATCCCTACCATTTAAGATCTGTTTCAGATATTGTCTTGTCAAGAGACCAAAATAAAGAAGCTTCATTTTTATGATTTGTGTCATTGTGTCAGATTGCACAGCTAACATAGTAGGCTATCTGATAAGATTATTTTATATGAAATAAAAATATAATATTGTACATACAATTCATAAAAATTATTATTGCACGAAAGCTGTTGACACCCCTCAGTTTTTCTACTTAAATTCGACCCAAGAACCTGGCTTTGATTAGGATAAGCAAGACCCCCTTACGGTTAAACAAATTTCACAGAACCCAGAATATTATATGCATAAAAAAGACAAAAACTAAAATGCATGATTGTTAATGAAGTTATTGACGCAAGGAGGTTAATGATTAAAAAGGAAATGAACAGCCATTAACAACATCACAATGGATCAAATCACATTCGTTCATCTGGCCAAGATCAAAGCTACAAACATCAAGACATTCAAACCGGTGGAGAATTAGTCCTCTCCGACATTAGGATCTACCTGAAAATGATGCTTTGCAAGTCGAAGGGATATTCGATAATCCCTGTGGTAGGGATGCGAACCCTAAGCACGTCTTGCTGAGTCGGCAGATACGACGGGTCTGAGATACGCTCCAAATCACTTAGATAGCTAGAGACAAGGAGAAACGGGGAGAGAAAAGGAAGAAAAGAAAGAATCAAGCATGGCAGCAGATCCATTAAAAAGCTTCAGAAAAGGAACGCCACACTCAGGATCCAGAGATGCGACCCTACAACCTTCTGCTTACTCAGAGCACCTCAAAAAAAAAAAAAAAAAAAAGAAAAAAAGTTGCAAATAAATAACAACAACAAAGGTGAGAATGCGATCAGGGAAGGCAGCAGTGCAGTTGCAGCAGCAGGTTAAAGGTCAGGAAACAGCAGCGGCAGGAATTGTGTGCCGTGGATTGCCGATACCTGAAGATTATATTCTCCAGATCAAAGGGATACTCTATGATGCCAGTTGTGGGCACTCGGACCCTCAGTACATCCTGCTGGGTGGGCATGTATCCCCGAGATGATATACGCTCTAAATCGTTAAGGTAGCTGTGGGACGAACAGAGTAAATGTACATGTGTATATACAGAAATATACAGTCAGACCCACACGGAATTTGCCCATTTTTATATTTTCCAGATAGAGTTGAAAAAAAAAAAAGAAGATTTAAAATATTTATGTATAAACTATACTAACTGAAAAAAAGTCTTGTCCCTCATCCAAGTTATAGAAACAGCAAATAATAACTTGACTTCTACTTAATTTGATATCAAAAGTGGCTAACATAAAAGGCAAAGGCCTCTAGATTATGCCTAATTTACCAAAATAAAATATGACCATGTCTTGATTTTTAATTATTTAATTAGGACAATAAAGTCTGACTTTGCTTAGACAAAAGTAATGTACAGTATAGAATATAAAGTCATGCTCCAGTGGACAAAGAATTAATATTGTTGTATAACTCCCATGAGCGTGTAGGACTGCATCCATACATATCTGCAATGACTCAAATAACTCAATAACAAAGTCATCTGGAATGGCAAAGAAAGTGTTCTTGCAGGACTCCCAGAGTTCATCAAGATTCTTTGGATTCATTTTCAATGCCTCCTCCATCTTACTCCAGACATGCTCAATAATTGTCAACAATGTCTTGATTCCTCGGGCTGTTGATGTTGCCATCCACTCAGCAGATCTCTCGCACACCCCCATACTAAATGAAACCCCAAACCATGATTTTTTCATCACCAAATTTGACTGATTTCTATGAAAATCTTGGGTCCATGCAGGTTCCAATAGGTCTTCTGCAGTGTTTGTGATGATTGGGATGCAGTTCAACAGACGACTCATCTGAAAAATGAACCTTCTGCCACTTTTCCAAATGATCAACTAGAAGTCAAGTTAATACTTATTACTCTTACAACTGGGATCGACGACAAGACTTTTGTCAGGTAGTATAAAACTGATTGACATTCATATATCCACTTGATCATTTTTATTCACTTAAACAGTTTACTCTTTACAAAAATAAAGGTAACCAGAATGAAAAAAGGTAAATAAGATAAACGATTCTGCCTTTTTTCCTGTTATTGTCTTGAGAAGAAACTGCAAAAATAACTGGTTTCTTTAAGGATTTATTTTTGCATCATGACAGACACTGCTTACTATTCATTCAATGCAATGGATTCTTAAAAATGTTGTCTTTTGTGTTCTACAAAAATTAAAGTTCGGAAGATATTGAACACAAATCCAATAAATAAATTCAGTGTGGGTGTGATGATCTAATTACACAATTTTTAACAACAACAACAAAGAGATTGTAAATGCCCATTCACAGTAGTGTCAACAACTACAACTATATAGTTTTAACAGTCTTTAAGTGTCACGAGAATAGTGAAACTAATTTACAACTCAACTAAACCACAAACAAGACACAGATAAATAATCAAGTTTGAATTATTTTTAGATTTTTTTTCCCAGCTGATGAATCTTAATGTTAAAGAGCTTAAGCCATTAAAGCAACAATACAAAACAGCACATTGAACATTATTGGCCATTGGTGTGGACACATAGTTATCTTTCTTAGTGTGAATGGGCCTTAAAAGGAGAGTTCACCCAAATAATGAAAATGTCATTGCTATTATTTATTTTTCCTCCACTTTCTCCTCCAAACCCATTTGAGCTTTGATTTTTTAAAAACAAAAAATTATAATCTGAACAATTCTACACCATCTTTTTATCCTATTATTTATATCAATGTTTTTCCTATTATGGATGACAGGTTTCAACATGCTTCAAAATATCTTCTTTTGTCAACAAAACACAAAGATTTGCAACCACTTGAGGGTGAATAGAGTTTTTTTTAATTTTTGGGTGAACTATCCCTTTTAAGTTATAGGTGGCCCAAAAATGAATACTTGCCATTTAAGGCAACTTTGTTTCATTGTTTGACCCTCAAAGACTTGTGTTTGATACAGTTATCACTTTAGAAATCTTTAATGAACTGAAAGTTTAGACTAATTATATAATTAGGTAATTTTTGGGTGAAATGTCCTTTTAAAACAGTACTTGCCCATCTATGACATGTTTTCAGACACATAAACTGACCTCAAAAAGAGATTCAAAGACTCATTTTAATAAACCTAAAAGCAGCAAATGACGACACACACACACACACTTACTATTTAGTGGAGTCAGAGAGCTGGTACTCTCGCCTGCGGTCGTATGCTTCCTGGATGCCCGGATCCATCCAGAGCTTATTAATTGCAGCAACATAGGGCTGTTCAAAAGAGCAAACCTTCTCGACATCGACCTCTCGCACCAGCAGAGCGTTTTTCTGCAGATAAAGACACAATAAAAACACAACCCATTTTACGACTTGACAGCTGTGTAATACTAATGACTTCCAGAGCAGTTCGCAACCAACTAGGCCACAAGTCGTGTGGAGTTAAACTTTAAGGATCTTCTTTAGGAAATATTAACTGATTCTTTAAAAGCAAAAAAAACTAAACATGGGAATAATTAACCATAATCCTGTACAAAAGACAGCTCACCGTGGTGTGACAGCAATAAAATTTACAGGCGGGCCTTGTAGTGCTTTTTATAGCCACGTTTATGGCCTATCTGGGTTTGATTTGCATCTTGACGCGCATCAAAGCGATGATAAGGGCTGGGATTGTAAGTGTGCAGCGCTCACCTTGTTGTCTTCGAATCTGAATGGGATCTTGAGGTGCTCGGTGGCGCGGATCATTGCCTGCATGGAGGTGAAGATGTTCTGGTAGACGAGTTTGGTGTAACCGCGCTTGTCCTCGTCGGTGTAGCCCGTCCCGTGAATGATGCGCATCTGTTTGATGAACGTACTCTTGCCGCTCTCGCCTGTCCCTGAGGAGCAAAACAGACACAGGTGTTAAAAAAGAGGGTTATTATCTGATGTTTGGATATTGTCGTTAGTTAATAAATAGTTTTTCAAATTAAATAAATCCAAATTAAAAATAGATGCATTAAAAGCCTTTGCAACCTTAAAGGTAGCAACACAAGCAGATTTTCTTTATTGTACAAAACTTTAAGATTACATAAACTAAAACATTTATAAACAAAAGTTTATTGGAGAATGTTTTAGCAGTTAAACGCCACATTTTTTGCGCAAAATATTCATTAAAATTCAGTTCATAAAGCGTCCAGCTGATCTGCAAGTCTGATGGAAGCACTTTTAGCTTAGCTTAGCATAGATCATTCAATCGGATTAGACCATTAGCATACCACTTAAAAATTCAAAGAATTTAGATAAATTGATGCTGGCTTCTTCTGTAGTTAGTTATATTGTGTACTACAGGCTGATTTATACTTCTGCGTCAAGCACGTGCGTATGGTGCGGTGCAGCATTCACGTGGTTGCTTTGCCCTCACTATGGCTGACGTTGACGCGCACCTCTCAAAAACTTTAACTACATGTTGCAACAACTCATAGCGCAAGCTCTGTGATTGGTCAGCTCGGTAACTGTGACGAGTGTGGGCGGTGCTGAGAGCCGCGAGCCCAATGGAGCGAGTGTTTACAAGTGTCGAGTCTGTTAAAGGAGCTCCAGATGGAAACTTTTGTTTTGTTTGTTTACCTTATGATTAAATTTATTGAACGTACTCTGGTTCCCACCTCAAAATGATCAAGTTTTAGCTACTTGTACAAAGGTAGCGTTCAATAAACAAAAGACCTGCAAAGAAACTCAAGACAGAGGAACATAGCACAACCTACTGCCAGCTAGCATTCTGGAATTGTTATTGTAGAGCAACACAAACAGCACACAGACGCATAAATGCACGACTTTGCGCAAGGCATGTGCTGTGGGTCATGGCGATCATGGGAAATGTAAATGCATTAAATTAAATGTAACAAATGTATTAATGGTTGGCTGGTTAACTAGCTGGGGCCAATTTTCAGATGTTATCAGTATTTAGCCGTATCAACTTATGAACTTGTTAAATAAGCTAATTGAACTATACACATTATATATTAAAACACAAAAACGCCCTATAAGAAGCACAGTCAAGAGCACGCCAAAGAAAAAGGTGGCGATATAATCATAACCGTAAAGCCATGCTGGCCAATAAGAAGCCTCAAAAAAGGTTATTAATGGTTCGGTTGGCTCTCAACTTGGATCACAATCCATTACCCAAACACACAACCTGTAAACAAAGTAGACTGTGGCGTACAATCACGAAGGAAACTACCAAAAACATTGGCGCCGACTATGCATACTCTGCCGTTTTTGAATATCTTCACCCTGATAGGAGGTAAAAAAAAAAAAAAAAGACGAGGGGGGAGCTCAAGCCAGACTCTCCCTGATCCCCAAAGCTCTGCGCTGGATGTGGAAATTCAAAATTGTCCCAAAAACAAACCATTACAATTAGATAAAATTGTCAATGAAAACACGAAAAATTGGCTCGATCAGCAAGCCTAATCTCAAGAAGAAACATAACTATTTTACCTTTTGTCAATTTAGTGGCTAATTTGTATGAATTCACTCGTACTTTAGTTTTGTATACTAAAGCCTTGTTTATCAGGGATGTAACGGTATCAAAATTTTACGATACGGTAATACCTCGGTATGAATGGCACGGTACGGTATTTATTGAATAATTTAAAGGAAAAACAAAACTATTGAAGAGACTCAAAAAAAGTGCTAGAATGTTCAGGTTACCTGAACACTGAACAGATCAATGACATACAAATGATCTACCTGTTAAGTTTTAAACAGGAACTTCAATTATTCAATTTTGATAACAAAAAATACTAAACCATGTAAAAAAACCACCACTCGAAAGGACAAGCCATGAGTGAGATAAAGGTCTCTTAGCGTTACAAGTCAATGTCTCCATCAATCTGAGCAGTGTGCTGTGTTCTGCTGTCCTCTTGACTAAAAGATTTCCCATCATGTTAGTCGTATTCCCCGACTTCTATTTCAGCACAGTCTGGCAGTGCCAGCATACCATTTTTTTCTGTCACCTTTTCTCCTTTTTCGTTTCTTTTCAGAGAGAAACAGAAATGCTTCCACACATCCGATTAAAAACCCACTTTAGGTTCGACCATTACTGGATCTGTAGCGACAACAGACCGCAAAGGATGATGGCCACGCCTGGGCTGATTGGAATTGTAGTTTCTGCTACCTCCTGTTCGCTCCATTTGCCTGAGCAAACTTTTTACCAAAAGATCTATGATTTTACTGAGTCACAACCACGGTAATATTGAAAGAAATGGCTATTGCGGTATGACGGTATTTACAATATCCCTATTGTTTATAATTCTACGTGGAGTGATCTGTGTGACCCACAGTGCCTGCTTTGCGTGTAGTTGTGGATTTATACTTCTGCGAGCTGCTTGTGTTGCTCTGCAACAACACTTCCGAAATGCTAGGTAGCGGAAGGTTTTTACGTTCCTCAATGTCGTGTTTCTTCTTGATGTTTTGTTTTTTCTGAACGCTTCCTTACTGTACAAGTAGCTAAAACTACAACAGACGTGCAACAACATTAATCATAAGGTAAACACAAAACAAAAGTTTCCATAGAGCTACTTCAACAAGCTCAATACTTGTAAACACTCGCTTAAACGAGTTCAGTCCCGTCCACACTGGTCACAGCTACCAAGCCAACCAATCACAAAGCTTGCTCTATGCCCTTGCGCCGGAGCATACGCATGCGCTTGATGCAGATGTATAAATCAGCTTTAAGAGCCATGTAAATAACATTTAAATAATAATATTTATAAAAGTTTCTAATTCTGTAAGCCAATATTGCATTCACGTTTGGAGGAACAGACTTGACTCTTATAAAAAGCTGCTTGGTACATCCCGCCTTTACAGTTATCAATGCAAATAAATGGCATACAGTGTGCATACCCTTATGAAAATCTATGTTTATAATTCTACAAGCCATGGTGCACCGTATCCAGTGTGCAACCCGCTTAATTCTGTATACAATACTCCCTGCCACACAAATAAAACTACAGCATTTTTTTAGATGTTTGCAGGAGGTGATACAAACTCTTACATGCTTAACTTCATGATCTAATCCGACAACATATAAACGAACACTGCAGCATTTTAAAACAGAAACTCTATAAACAGCAGCGTCTCCTCGAGTATTACTCTGCTCCTGATGACTCAAGGCAGTAAAAATGTTTCATCCCCAAAGTTCAACAATACCACTTCCCTGGAAGCTTGGGAGGTCTTGGACCGGCAGGGGGAAAAACAAGTCGAGTTACTCTTCCAGTTTTCAGCATTTATCACCATCTTGACAATACAGAGTCAACAGTTGAGAAAGCCGTGCTCCGATTGGTATGATAACCAGCTCCGCAGGTTTTATATCTTGACACACATACAATTTGAGCATTGACATCCTTGACAACTGCCTTTTATTTAAACAAACAAGAGGGACAACAATTAAAAAAGAATGAAAGGTGAACGGAGGTCCATTAATCTCACATGGCTTTATAAGAGCTTCCTTGTGGTAAGCAAACAGGATTTTTGCACGAAGATCACATCGCGTTCAAAATTCATTGTATTTAAAGGGATAGTTCACCAAAAAATGAAACTTTACTATTTACTCATCTTCAAGTGGTTCTAAAGGTTAAGAATTTCTCTGATGCGCTCACCTTGTTGTCTTCGAATCTGAATGGGATCTTCTGAAATATTCTGAAGAACGCCATTTACATCCACAGTAGGAACCAAATAAGTCAATGGCTCATAAATGTTTTTTCCAAAATTCGTCAGTGTATTTTTCTTTGTGTACAACACAAAGAAAGAAAGTCAAACTGGTTTGAAACAAGTGTTGTAGTAGTAGTAGTAGTAGTACTGGACGACAATTAACAATTCTTGGGTGAACTAAACTTTAAGCATTAAAGTAATGTGGCATCTGAAAAATATTTAGACGGAAACAAACGCGCTTTTTAAAGGATCTGGCATGGGATATTTATTCAAACAATTAGGGCAAACTTAATGTAAATAAATGATATGTGAATAAATTATGAATAATAAATTTATATAAATAAATATGTGCAACAAAACAAAATAGCAATAAGCACCAAGCAAAATTACTTCACAAATTTTTTATTACTTTTCTTAAATCCAAATTGAAGCCGCTGAATAAAATTACATAAAAGTTAATCACATCACCAGGCTTTAGAAATCTTTGAGAATTTATGAAAAACAAATATGGTATACATTAATATATAATGAGCTCATTTGGGCAAAGCGGGTTCAATTTCCCATCAATTTTAAAAATCTTTATGGCAAGTTGGCAACCTGTCAAAATAAAAGTTTAACAAAGAATTTGTGACAAATTTCTTAAAGTTCTTAAAAATGAAAATGGGTAAAACTTTACTAGCCATTAGTCATAGTTCACTGATAAAGGAGGAAAAATCCCATTCAAAAATTATAGATGTTTCATTAAGAAAACCATTTAGTGATTCCATAGTTGTGAGAATATTAGTCTCACACGTCAACAAAAGCACTTAAAATCACTATTTTATCAACATTTACTCTACTTGTGGTTATCTATCTATCTATCTATCTATCTATCTATCTATCTATCTATCTATCTACACACACACACACACAAAGACACACACAAAGACACACACACAAAGACACACACACAAAGACACACACACAAAGACACACACACACACACACACACACACACACACACACACACACACACACACACACACACACACACACACACACACACACAGAATTATTAGCCCCCCTGAATTATTAGCTCCACGGTTTATTTTTCCCCAATTTCTGTTTAATGGATAGTTTTTTTTTCAACATTTCTAAACATAGTTTAATAACTCATTTGTAATAACTGATTTATTTTATCTTT